GGGACTCCGATCTCGACAGGAATGACTGCTTCGGTTCCGAAGGCCAGATGATAAGGTGTTTCGCCTATTTCAGTGGATTATAACTTTAGAATGCGCTTTATACGTTATGCATCTTTGCTCTAAGGTAGAATCGCAGCAGAAGAAGTAGAGTAATATAAATTTAATCAAATATGCTAGGTGTAGAGTAATACCTGTGGCAGTTCGACTCGTAGTTCTGTATGCCCAGAGGACGTTGTTGAGCTCGTCTGCCCATTTGGCCTTGTGTTGTTCCAGCCTTGGCTTGATACCTTCTAAGATGCACTTGTTAACAGATTCGACCATGCCGTTGGACTCCGGATGGTAAACCGAGGTGAACTGTAATTTGATCCCGTAACTGGAACAGAAATCTCGAAAAGAGGTGCAATTAAATTGAGTTCCATTATCAGCCACAATCTGATTCGGGATTCCATATCTGCAGATGATTGAACTGAAAACGAAGTCTTCAACCTTCTTGGAAGTAAGACTGGATATTGGCCGAGCTTCAACCCACTTTGTGAAATAATCTACACCGACAATCAGGTGGGTGACACCGCCAACTCCTTTCACGAATGGTCCCAAAAGATCCAATCCCCACTGAGCAAATGGCCATGGTGCTACCAGAGTAGTGAGCTGTTCTGCAGGCTGGTGAGTTAGGTGCGCGAAGAACTGGCATTTTAAACATCGCTGAACAAAGTGAGTGGCATCCTTATACATGTTGGGCCAATAGTAACCCTGTCTAAGGACTTTATGAGCCAAGGTTCGAGCACCCACGTGACTTCCGCAGATACCTTCATGCACCTCCCGGAGTGCATATTCTGCTTCATAGGGATTCAAGCACCGCAGAAGAGGTAGAGAAAAAGATCGCTTGTAGAGAACCCCATCGACAAGTGTATATCGGGATGCTTTCTTCCTCAACTTCATTGCCTCCTGCCTGTCCTCAGGTACTATCCCATCTCGTAAGAAGGAGAGGATTGGGTCAGTCCAGCTCGGTGTGTCTGGGTCGGTGCTGATTTCCATCGTCCGTGGCTTCACGAAGCTTGGTTCATCTAAGACCTCTACAAAAACTGACCTGGAATGTGAAGAACTATCAGAGGCGAATTTAGAGAGTGAATCTGCCTGTTCATTCTCAGTTCGGGGGATTTTGCTCAGACAGAATTTTTGGAATTTGCACTTCAGTTCAGCTATTAGGGCCACATATTTTACCATCACAGGATCAACGACTTCGCAGATTGAGTTAATTTGGTTCACCACCAGCTGGGAGTCACTGTATACTTGGATTGCACTGAGTTTTAATTCCAATGCTAGCTGAAGACCAAGTAGCAGGGCTTCATATTCGGCCATGTTGTTCGTTGCGTCGAAGTTGAACTTCAAAGCATGTTCACTTCGGTATCCATCTGGGCCAATCAAGAGAGCACCAGCTCCTGATCCTTTGCTATTGGATGCCCCATCAACATATAAGGTCCAGTCATTAGGCTCTGAAGTAGGAATGGGATTACCTGGAGTGCATTCTACAATAAAATCTGCCAGTGCCTGAGCTCGAATTGCAGATCTGTGCTGAAATGTTATCTCAAACTCCCCCAGTTCTACTGCCCACTTAATTAGTCTTCCAGAACACTCAGGCTTTTGCAGGATTTGCCGAAGGGGTTGATCTGTAAGAATAATGATCGGGTGCGACTGGAAATACGGCCTCAACTTCCTGGCCGAAGTGACGACTGCTAAAGCTGCTTTCTCAGCTATAGGATACCTCAGTTCGGCTCCATGCAGCACACTGCTGATATAATATATTGGTTTCTGCTGCTTGACTTCTTCTCTTACCAGAACCGAACTAATGGCTTCATCTGAAATTCCCAGATATAGATAGAGGATTTCTCCATCTTTGGCTTTAGTCAGTAGAGGTGGCGAGCCAAGGTAAGACTTCA